TTGGCCCAGCGTCGTCCGAGTTTGGCCGGTGTAGGCCGTCATTGTAAATAAGAATTTGTTCTTAACTGACTTGCCTAGTTAAATAAAGGTAAAATAAATAAAAAATAAAAATTACACTATAGCATAGTGGGACCCCCTAACTGACATAAACAGCCGCCGGTCTTACCTGTGCATATTGGACCCGAATGAACGAGCAAACAACTCATACTTTATTTTAACCCTGGCCAATTGTACCTGTGCCCCACATTCCTCCCATGTGATCCCTTTGGCAGAGACTATTTACATTTATCCACCATCTTTGATTGACGCAACCAGGAAGAGGTCAATTTAAGAGGTGTGAACTCCCAGTATGGACGCGCTGTCTCTTTTTACACCTGAGGGGAGGCTTCTTGGTGTGGGTGTCTTGGTTGCCACACATGAAGAGCAGGGGAAACGTGCTCCATCATGGCCTGTCAACGTCACCAAATGGGCCTGACTAATACCTTCCCTGACCCCCTCAAAGTCTGTCCACAACAGCATTGCAAATGGAAGGAGAGAGATGAAAAGAAGCCTATCGATGTTTGTTGAAGAAGCATTCAAATGTTTTCTTAGCTTAGGAGAAGTGTTGCTCTGTTTTCCTTGGATTCAAATAGAGCACAGCTAAGAGGAATAGAAGGTCATTGGATGTCGCAGGGGGAGTGAAGAAATGCAGCCTGATCTTGGATGTTTGTTCACCTGGTTAACTTAGTGAGGGAGGGACTTCAAAAAGGGACTGGAGTGTGGCAAGGAGGATAGGGGTCAAATGAACACTGGTTGGGATACCTGACAAGGCATAATTCTGTATAAAATCCTGATTCATTCAATCAATTAAATTAGAGATGATTGAGAGTACAGTATCTCTCCAGCAGGTTAGCGTTTTTTTTGTCATTAATCTTGTTCAGGAGGCAGTGCTAAACCTAACCCTGACCTTAACCCTAATGCCTGACCTTAACCCTAATGCCTAACCCTGACCTTAACCCTGACCTTAACCCTAATGCCTAACGCTAATCTTAACCCTGACCTTAACCCTAATACCTAACCCTGACCATAACCCTGACCTTAACCCTGACCTTAGTCCTAATACCTAACCCTAACCTTAACCCTGACCTTAACCCTAATGCCTAACCTTAAATGAAGAGAAAAGCACATTTTTGTTTTCATGAATTTTTACCGTATAGCCAATTTTTACTTTGCTGCTGGCCCATCTAGCGGGAATAGCTCAGTTCTTCCTCCAGGGCAAGATTCATGACAATAAACACCAACCTGCATCTCTCCAGTCTATTGATCTAGCTGTGTGTTTGTGCATATGTGTGTGTGTGTGTTTGTGTGTCTGTACAGTAATACAGCCAGCCAGCCTCAGAGAAGAAAAGCAGGATCAGTCCTGAAGATGTTTCTAGTCAGGGATGTGGTTGGGTTCTACTCTTCTCTCTCTGATGTGATGTGATGGAGAGAGAGAGAGGCCAGGGCTGTTGTTCCCAGGAATCTGTTCACACACACAGCTCCTATTAGAGCCTGTCTTCTCTGGTTTACATCTAGGGTGCGTCCCAAATGGAACCCTATTCACTACGTAGCACACTACTTTTGACCAGAGGCCTATGGGCCTATGGGCCCTGGTCAAAAGTAGTGCCCTATATAGGGAAAAGGGTGCCATTTGGGACGCAACCAAACCATACCTCACATGCCAGGCAGTGAACATCTACCATGCCTCACCTTGGCTCACAGGCAGTAGAGATGTTCAGGAAACCCCCTGAATATTCAGCTTGTGTCATATTGGAGTTTTGCCTTTTTTAGATTTGTTTAGAAATGTTGAGCCAGTTGAATTACAGTCAAACATTAACTATTGTAACAGTTACTACTTGTGTAGTGGCAGGAAAACAGAAACTATTGTAACAGTTACTACTTGGGTAGTGGCAGGAAAACAGACTAGAGTAGAAAAAGGAGTGGAAAATATGGTGAATACACTAAACTGTCAGTACCATGACCTACCATGTATAACTCCCTGTCTCCCACTCTCTCGCTCTCCCACAGCAGACGACATGTTTTCAGTGAGGCCAAGGTAGCTTCCCAGATCCAGATAACCAGCAGGATCAGGCCTGGAGGAGAGAAACAGCACAGACCCATAGAGAGGAAGGTCAGAGCCAGGACAGAGCCATAGAGAGGGAGGTCAGAGCCAGGACAGACCCATAGAGAGGGAGGTCAGAGCCAGGACAGAGCCATAGAGAAGGAGGTCAGAGCCAGACAGACCCATAGAGAGGGAGGTCAGAGCCAGGACAGAGCCATAGAGAAGGAGGTCAGAGCCAGGACAGAGCTATAGAGAGGGAAGTCAGTCAGGACAGACCCATAGAGAGGAAGGTCAGAGCCAGGACAGAGCCATAGAGAGGGAGGTCAGAGCCAGGACAGACCCATAGAGAGGGAGGTCAGAGCCAGGACAGAGCCATAGAGAAGGAGGTCAGAGCCAGGACAGACCCATAGAGAGGGAGGTCAGAGCCAGGACAGAGCCATAGAGACGGAGGGTCAGAGCCCCGGACAGAGCTATAGAGAGGGAAGGTCAGTCAGGACAGACTCATCGAGAGGGAAGGTCAGATCCAGGACAGGCGCCATAGAGAGGGGAGGTCAGAGCCAGGGCCAGAGCCATTCGAGGAGGGAGGTCAGAGCCAGGACAGACCCATAGAGAGGGAGGAGAAAGCCCAAAAAGAGGGAGTCTGGACGGACGGATTAGGGGAAGAAGAGATCCAGGGATTAGGGGCTAATCCAAGCCACGACCAATCCCCAGAGAAGTCCCCCCTTTTTGCTTCTGAAGACACAGACAGCCGCCCGGATTACTGCATTAAACGTATTACCTTTTAGAGACTTAACGTAACAGGGTTTGGTTTCAGCCCTGCTCAGATGCCTGGATATGCATACCTCTGAAAACAAATGACCAGAAGGAGAGGAGGAGGAGGAGGACAGGGCAGGGGGGAGATGCTGGGACGTATAGGAGACATATAGGAGCATGCCGTAAAGACGGGTGGGGATAAACCTCCATGTTACAGCTGTGTCTGCAGGAGTCAGACGAGAGGTCAACTAAGTGGCCCTCTCTCTCTCTCTCCGAGCCCCTCAGGACGGAAAGGACAGACTCGACCCCCACTGAGCATGGGCCAAAGATCCTCCAACTGAAACAGGATTACAGTAGAACAGAGCTCCAGCCCCTTCTGTTAGTACAGTGTGAGGGGGTCGAGATACCTCTCCTCCACTTGAAATACATGGTTGAAACTGAGGAGTATCTGCTTCATATTCACATACAGGCTGAGAAGGGCATAATTACATTTGCCTCTGCGGCTCACAGTCACACAGGAGAGTTAGTAAGGGATGTTGAGGTGGTGGCGTGAAATCTGACTGTATGAAGTCTGGTTGTGACTGTCTGGTTCATTCTCTCTAGAGGTTAACACAATCTCAAATTCAAGATCACACCTAATAGAAGTCTGTTGGTCTGGTGAGTAAACCCCTGGTACTGCTCGCTCTCTCTCCTCCGGTCTGTGGTGTGAGGCGTGCTTCCTCCCTCTGTGCTGCTCCCAGCTGCCCCTCTTAAAACGCCAGCCAGTCGAGACCTAGAGAGGACCTGGGACTGTGGTTAGGAGCAAATTTAAAGGCTGCTTTAACCGTGACGCAATCCCATTCAGAGGTCTGTTCCAAGTCATTAATAAAGCCAGGCTATCGCGCGCGGGAGGGCCTCGGCAGTGGAAAGCTCTTAAAAGAACCAGAAGACCTAGTCTGTGTGCTCTACACTATCAAAATATTACAGAAAGCGATATACATTACTCCGCTGGCTAAAGATAACACAGGAAAGTTATTTGCCTGGCTCCTGCCAGTGTTGACCCACTGGCTTATTTTGTGCAATAAAAGTCAACTAAGTGATTTTCTTAGCTGACTTTTGTCAGTATTTTGTCAGTATTTGTCAGTATTTTGTGCGCTTTTGGCCCAAAATAGTGTTTTTATCTGGTGGAACATACGTTGCATGTTTGTAGGTTTCTGCTGCTGGTCAAATCCGTTTGAAGTGCTGAATGAGGGTCCCTGCTTTTAAATACAGATAAAACAAGTATTTCAGTGAAATATGACGTGATATGATTAATTAGCACTCATATTGTAGCAAGACACAGGACGAGAGAGAAACAAAATACCCTGAAACTCCCAGACAAAAACCAGACTGACGTTTAATTTGTTCTCGAGAGCAGCGACAGGAGAATGACTGTGGTCTAAATTTAGAAAGTTCCAGAACAATGGACTTTGGAACTTTGAAGTCTAACAGAAGGGCAGGGTCTGTAGAAAAAGCTGATCCAGTTACATTCTAACTGAATGTTCCAGTTAGTGACGTGTTCATCCAGACCCCTTACCTGGTTCTACGTCAATACACCAAATCAATCTCTAGCAAAGAAAGTCCCCTCAGAATACCTAGACTGTTATAGCTGAATTTGAGCCTCTCCTAGACGGAGAATCGAACACATTTTTGTGCTTTCTTTGAATAAATAGTTCCAGTGTACAACCGCAGGAGGGATATTTGCAGCTGGAACTGGGCTTCTTCCTGAGCTGATGTTTTATAAACCCAAAGCCCAAAACAACTGTCGAGCCCAGCTTCTCTGACCACACTCAAACTGCCGGGAGATTCCAGGAACTGAGCGGCATACTTTTCTGCTCCATTTTCTCGACTTAATCCAGCTGGATATGAATGACAACTAACAGCAGAAATTGGGACTGAAATTGCAAACAGCACATGATAACAAGAGAATACAATAGATTTCTCCATTACTGAGGTTGACCCTACAAGACCTGGTGGTGAAATTCTATTCAAAACCTAAACGATCACGATCATTACTTTTGAGGCACACAATCCCCCTGGGAGCATTTCTAAAGCAACTCTCCAGTAACAGTTTCGACCAAAGACATTTGAAACTCAATTTTCATCCCATCTTTTAGAGGATTTAAAGGGATTTTTTTGTCATTTTTAGAAGACCATACCATTGGCCATCACCATGAACCTGGGGAAGATCCCTGGGCTGAAGGGCCTGGTGGCCGGCTCTCAGGGTAAACGTCGTTTCAAAGGAGACCTCACCCTGGACATGATCAGTCCTCCGCTGGGGGACTTCCGACATACCATGCACGTGGGCCACGGAGGGGACATGTTCGGGGACACCTCGTTCCTTAGCAACCACGGGGGGGCCACCAACGGAAACGGGGATTCTGTCACAAGCTCTGACAACAAGATCGGGGCGTTCTTCTCTCGGACCCTCCGGCATGTTCGGAAGACACCAGAGCGTCCCAGGGGGGGATCCAAGGACCTGTCCCCGCCACCCCCTCCCATATCCCCCATTATCAAGAATGCAGTGTCCCTCCCCCGACTGGATGTGGACTCACCAAACGGCTGCCCTGCTAAAAACCTCTTCCCCGCCTCTCCTACCTCGCTGGAGGAGACCGCTTATGGTTATGGTGAGTCTTACTGTACACCTACATTTACACACATATACATACACACACATATACACACAGAAATTCACACACATTCACAACACACCTATTCCACACAAATATACACCCACAACATATACACACACAAAATATACACACACACATGATTACACCACACACCATATACACCACACCATTCACATCACAACACCACATATTCACACACACACACACACACATCACACACATACACACACATATACACACACAAATAAACATACACACACACACACATTTACACACATACATTCACACACATATACATACAAATACACACACATGTACACACACAAACACATACAAATACACACACAAACACACACATACATATACACACATATACACACACACACACACACACATATACACACCATATACACACACACATATACACACACATACACACACAAATACACACACATACAGTGGGGAAAAAAAGTATTTAGTCAGCCACCAATTGTGCAAGTTCTCCCACTTAAAAAGATGAGAGAGGCCTGTAATTTTCATCATAGGTACACGTCAACTATGACAGACAAAATGAGGAAAAAAAATCCAGAAAATCACATTGTAGGATTTTAAAGGAATTTATTTGCAAATTATGGTGGAAAATAAGTATTTGGTCAATAACAAAAGTTTCTCAATACTTTGTTATATACCCTTTGTTGGCAATGACACAGGTCAAACGTTTTCTGTAAGTCTTCACAAGGTTTTCACACACTGTTGCTGGTATTTTGGCCCATTCCTCCATGCAGATCTCCTCTAGAACAGTGATGTTTTGGGGCTGTCGCTGGGCAACACGGACTTTCAACTCCCTCCAAAGATTTTCTATGGGGTTGAGATCTGGAGACTGGCTAGGCCACTCCAGGACCTTGAAATGCTTCTTACGAAGCCACTCCTTCGTTGCCCGGGCGGTGTGTTTGGGATCATTGTCATGCTGAAAGACCCAGCCACGTTTCATCTTCAATGCCCTTGCTGATGGAAGGAGGTTTTCACTCAAAATCTCACGATACATGGCCCCATTCATTCTTTCCTTTACACGGATCAGTCGCCCTGGTCCCTTTGCAGAAAAACAGCCCCAAAGCATGATGTTTCCACCCCGATGCTTCACAGTAGGTATGGTGTTCTTTGGGTGCAACTCAGCATTCTTTGTCCTCCAAACACGACGAGTTGAGTTTTTACCAAAAAGTTCTATTTTGGTTTCATCTGACCATATGACATTCTCCCAATCCTCTTCTGGATCATCCAAATGCACTCTAGCAAACTTCAGATGGGCCTGGACATGTACTGGCTTAAGCAGGGGGACACATCTGGCACTGCAGGATTTGAGTCCCTGGCGGCGTAGTGTGTTACTGATGGTAGGCTTTGTTACTTTGGTCCCAGCTCTCTGCAGGTCATTCACTAGGTCCCCCCGTGTGGTTCTGGGATTTTTGCTCACCGTTCTTGTGATCATTTTGACCCCACGGGGTGAGATCTTGCGTGGAGCCCCAGATCGAGGGAGATTATCAGTGGTCTTGTATGTCTTCCATTTCCTAATAATTGCTCCCACAGTTGATTTCTTCAAACCAAGCTGCTTACCTATTGCAGATTCAGTCTACCCAGCCTGGTGCAGGTCTACAATTTTGTTTCTGGTGTCCTTTGACAGCTCTTTGGTCTTGGCCATAGTGGAGTTTGGAGTGTGACTGTTTGAGGTTGTGGACAGGTGTCTTTTATACTGATAACAAGTTCAAACAGGTGCCATTAATACAGGTAACGAGTGGAGGACAGAGGAGCCTCTTAAAGAAGAAGTTACAGGTCTGTGAGAGCCAGAAATCTTGCTTGTTTGTAGGTGACCAAATACTTATTTTCCACCATAATTTGCAAATAAATTCATTAAAAATCCTACAATGTGATTTTCTGGATTTTTTTTTCTCAATTTGTCTGTCATAGTTGACGTGTACCTATGATGAAAATTACAGGCCTCTCTCATCTTTTTAAGTGGGAGAACTTGCACAATTGGTGGCTGACTAAATGCTTTTTTCCCCCACTGTATATACACACATATATACACACACATTCACACACATATACACACACATACTGTATGCACGCATCCACACAATAAGTGAACATGCAACCGTACCTGTGGAGGCTTGCGGTAGCTCCTGGACCTTAGGTCTAGGCTTTAGCTCAGCAGGCTAACACCGTCTTGTTGCATGCAGGAGACTTGGATTTGATACATGGTCAGTCATAGAAGCAGTAACTGCCATTGGACATGCTGTAAAAACAAGCCACAGTAATTCACAGATTTTCCACAGCTGCCATGATGAATCGCTGTGGCTCAGACACAACAACCCTCACATTCTCTCCAGCATGATGTGTGATGATAAGAGCGAGCCGTGCCAGACATGACTGTGCTGTCGTGTGTCTGGTCTGAGGCCCTGTGTGACTGACTGCCCCACATTAATACCCTCATGTCTCACTGTCTGATCTTTCTGCCCTATTGTTGTGTGTTTGTGTATGTGACGCGTGTGCGTGTGTGTGTGTGAGTGTGTGTGACATGCGTGTGTGTGTGCATGCATGTTTTTGGTATACTATGCTATAGTATACTTTTTTTGGTATAAAAATACTATAGTATACTATGGTGTAAATACTATAGGATACTATGGTCTAAATACTATAGTATACTATGGTCTAAATACTGTAGTACACTGTGGTCTAAATACTGTAGTATACTATGGTCTAAATACTTTAGTATACTATGGTCTAAATACTGTAGTATACTATGGTCTAAATACTGTAGTATACTATGGTCTAAATACTATAGTATACTATGGTCTAAATACTGTAGTATACTATGGTCTAAATACTATTCTACATACTATAGCATACTATGGTCTAAATACTGTTGTATACTATGGTCTAAATACTATAGTATACTATGGTCTAAATAATATTCTGAATACTGTAGTATACTATGGTCTAAATACTATAGTATACTATGGTCTAAATACTGTTGTATACTATGGTCGAAATAATATAGTATACTGTGGTCTACATACTATAGTATACTATGTTCTAAATTATGTTGTATACTATGGTCTAAATACTATAGTATACTATGGTCTAAATACTATATTATGCTATGTTCTAAATTCTGTAGTATACTATGGTCTAAATACTATTCTACATTCTATAGTATACTATGGTCTAAATACTATAGTATACTATGGTCTAAATACTGTAGTATACTATGGTCTAAATACTACAGTGTACTATGGTCTAAATACTGTAGTATACTATGGTCTAAATACTATATTATACTATGGTCTAAATACTGTAGTATACTATGGTCTAAATACTGTAGTATACTATGGTCTAAATACTATAGTATACTATGGTCTAAATACTATAGTATACTATGTTCTAAATACTATAGTATACTATGGTCTAAATACTATAGTATACTATGGTCTAAATACTTTAGTACACTATGGTCTAAATACTATAGTATACTATGGTCTAAATACTGTAGTATACTATGGTCTAAATACTGTAGTATACTATGGTCTAAATACTGTAGTAGACTATGGTATAAATACTATAGTATACTATGGTCTAAATACTATAGTATACTATGTTCTAAATACTATAGATACTATGGTCTAATATAGTACCTATGCAAATACTAAATGGTCTAAATACTTTATACACTATGGTCGTAAATACTATAGTATACTATGGTCTAAATACTGTAGTATACTATGGTTAATACTATAGTATACTATGGATTTTTAAATACTGTAGTATACTATGGTCTAAATACTTGTATACTATGGTCTATACATATAATATGGTTAAATACTATAGTATACTATGGTCTAAATACTATAGTATACTATGGTCTAAATACTGTAGTATACTATGGTCTAAATACTATAGTATACTATGGTCTAAATACTATAGTATACTATGGTCTAAATACTGTAGTATACTATGGTCTAAATACTATAGTATACTATGGTCTAAATACTGTTGTATACTATGGTCTAAATACTATAGTATACTATGGTCTAAATACTGTAGTATGACTATTTATATACTATAGTATACTATGGTCTAAATACTATAGTGTACTATGGTCTCAATACTGTAGTATGACTAGTTATATAATATAGTATACTATGGTCTAAATACTATAGTATACTATGTTATAACATAGTTAGTAATACTTATGGTCTAAATACTATATATACTATGGTCTAATACTATAGTATACTATGGTCTAAATACTGTAGTATACTATGGTATAAATACTATAGTATACTATGGTCTAAATACTATAGTATACTATGTTCTAAATACTATAGTATACTATGGTCTAAATACTATAGCATACTATGGTCTAAATACTTTAGTACACTATGGTCTAAATACTATAGTATACTATGGTCTAAATATATATTAGTATACTATGGGTAAATACTATTAGTATACTATGGTCTAAATACTATAGTATACTATGGTCTAAATACTGTAGTATACTATGGTCTAAATACTATAGTATACTATGGTCTAAATAATATTATAAATACTATAGTATACTATGGTCTAAATACTGTAGTATACTATGGTATAAATACTATAGTATACTATGGTCTAAATACTGTAGTATACTATGGTCTAAATACTATAGTATACTATGGTCTAAATACTATAGTATACTATGGTCTAAATACTATAGTATACTATGGTCTAAATACTGTAGTATACTATGGTCTAAATACTATAGTATACTATGGTCTAAATAATATTATAAATACTATAGTATACTATGGTCTAAATACTGTAGTATACTATGGTCTAAATACTGTAGTATACTATGGTATAAATACTATATTATACTATGGTCTAAATACTATAGTATACTATGGTCTAAATACTGTAGTATACTATGGTCTAAATACTATAGTATACTATGGTCTAAATACTGTAGTATGACTATTTATATACTATAGTATACTATGGTCTAAATACTATAGTGTACTATGGTCTCAATACTGTAGTATGACTAGTTATATAATATAGTATACTATGGTCTAAATACTATAGTATACAATGGTCTAAATAGTGTAGTATACTATGGTCTAAATACTATATTATACTATGGTCTTAATACTATAGTATACTATGGTCTAAATACTATAGTATACAATGGTCTAAATAATGTAGTATACTATGGTCTAAATACTATATTATACTATGGTCTTAATACTACAGTATACTATGGTCCTAAATACTGTAAGGATAACTATGGTATAAATACTATTGGTATACTACGGCTAAATACTGAGTATACTATGGTCTAAATACTATAATATACTATGGTCCAAATAATATTCTAAATACCATAGTATACTATTGGTCAAAATACTGTAGTATGCCTATGGTGTAAATACTATAGTATACTATGGTCTAAATACTGTATATACTATGGGGCCTAAATACTCTAGTAATCTATGGTCTAAATACTATAGTATAACTATGTCTAATACTAATAGGATACTATGGTCTAAATACTATTCTAACATACTATAGTATACTATGGTCCTAAATACTGTAGTATAAACTATGGTATAAATACTATATTAATACTATGGGTCCCAATACTGTAGTAATTATGGTCTAAATACTGTAGTATACTATGGTCTAAATACTATATATACTATGGTCTAAATACTCTAGTATACTATGTTCTAAATACTATAGTATACTATGGTCTAAATACTATAGTATACTATGTCTCAAATACTATAGTATACTATGGTCTAAATACTGATACTGTTAATTATAGTACTACTATGGTTCTAAATACTGTATGTCTAGACTATGTATATACTATATTTATACTATGGTCTAAATACTATAGTGTACTATGGTCTAAATACTGTAGTATGACTAGTTATATACTATAGTATACTATGGTCTAAATACTATAGTATACAATGGTCTAAATATGTAGTATACTATGGTCTAAATACTATAGTATACTATGGTCTAAATACTATAGTATTGACTATGGTCTAATACTTAGTATACTATGTTAAAATACTTAGTATACTATGGTCTAAATACATAGTATACTATGTTCTAATACTTAGTATACTATGTCTAAATACATAGCTCTATGGCTAAAACTTGACTATGGTCTAAATACTTAGTATACTATGGTCTACATCTAGTATACTAGTTAATACTAATTATATAGGTCTAAATACTATAGTATACTATGGTCTAAATACTGTAGTATACTATTCTAATACTATAGTATACTATGGTCTAAATACTATTATAATACTGATTATGGTCAAATACTGAGTCTATGTTAATATTAGTATCTATGGTCTAATATTATTCTAGGTTATGGATACTATCATTGTGAGTACTAGGTTCTTACGTAGTACTACATGTAATACAGACATTCTAATACTAGTAGTACATGTCTATTCTACTAGTAATCTTGTCTAATTTCTGTGGTATACTATGTCTAAAACGTGATACTTGCAATCATAGTACTGGTCTTAAATACTTAGTATAGTATGGCTAATGACTGTAGTGTTACTGGTCTAATCTATAGATCTTGGTCTAGAATACTTAACTATGGTCTAAATAATAGTTATTGGTTAAACTGTAGATGATATACTATACTATAGTATACTAGTCTTTAACTGCTCTGTATTGGTATGAAGCTATATATGATTTGTCTAATCTATGTTACTAGGTAAAACTGTAGTCATAGTCACTTTATATTTAGGTAAACTAGCATGTCCAATTACTAGTATCGAGGCTAAATATAGTTTACTATTCCAAAGACTAACTAGTCTTATTCAGGAACTGGTCTTCTTAGATATGATAAGTATGTAAAACTATGGTTAAACTAGTAATGGTAAACCATAGTAATGTTAAACTAGTAAATGTAATACTAGGTCTAACTGCGAATCTTATTCTATTCTTCCTGTAAGTCAATACGAAACATTCTTTAGGTTTTGGTCAATTATTTTTCAAATACAGAATGTTCTAATAGAGTACTATGGTTAAATCTTGTTCTCTTTACATGTTCCAGGATAGATCTATTTCTCAATCATGTTACTCAGGAGTCTAAATAATAGTATACTATGGTTAAATACTATAGCACATGGTCTATATACTGTAGTATCTATGTAACTATCTTATACTCTGGTCTAAATTCAGGTGTACTATGGTCTAAAACTGTAGTATGACTAGTTATACTACTATAGATACTATGGTCTAAATACTATGTATACAATGGTCTAAATACTGTAGTATACTATGGTCTAAATACTATAGTACATGGTCTAATACTATAGTATCTATGGTCAATACAAGTATACTATGTTCTAAATACTGTATTATATATGGTCTAATACGATAGTAACTATGGTCTAAATAATAGTATACTATGTGTCTAAATACTATAGTATACTATGGTCTAAATACTGTAGTATGACTACTTATATACTATAGTATATTATGGTCTAAATACTATAGTATATTATGGTCTAAATACTGTAGTATTACTATTTATATACTATAGTATACTATGGTCTAAATACTATAGTATACGATGGTCTAAATACTGCAGTATTACTATTTATATACTATATTACTATATTATTCAGTGTAGGGATACTACAGTGTGGAGTATAGGATTCTACAGTATACTACAGTTTACTACAGAATTCTATAGTAAGTACAATAGTATTCTATAGTAAGCTGTAGTATTTTGTGTGGGTATGCAGTGGTTTCTTAACGTACCTTGCATCTAGTTGGTTTCCAGCTATAGTAGCAGTAGGCCATGAGAGCATTAGTGTGTGACGGGTCATGTGAGTGATCTGGCCTGAGAACAACATACCTAAGAGGTGATGTCTAACTCAGAGATAGAGCTTGAGTTTGAAACTGGCAGAAGACTCACTCTTTGATTACATAGTTTACACTGCCCTCTGTTGGTGATGGGAGAGCATCTATGGAAGTTCCTTCCTGAATTCTCCACTTTACTTCCCAGGAGAGACTGAGCATAGTCCACTTTATTTCCCAGGAGAGACTGAGCATAGTCCACTTTACTTCCCAGGAGAGACTGAGCATAGTCCACTTTACTTCCCAGGAGAGACTGAGCGTAGTCCACTTTACTTCCCAGGAAAGACTGAGCATAGCTTCTTTGAGATGATCATGAAGTAATGGTAAAACTAGTAATGGTTAAACTAGTAATGGTAAACCAAGTAATGGTTAAACTAGTAATGGTAAAACTAGGGTGCCAACTGGAATTCTATTTATTCTTCCTGTAAAATAGATTTTTAGGTTTTTGTCAATTATTTTTCACAATACAGAATGTTAGGACTAAACTCCTTGTCTCTCCTCCTCCTCAGGTCTGGAGTCAGGTTTCGCCACTCTGCCCCGCCTCTCCCGCTCAGTGGAGTGTCAGTCGCAACAGGGAGGATCTATTTCCTGTACACCCAATGCCCACGGCTGCTCGCTCACCGACGTCTCCGCCCTCCTGAAGTCCTCCGCATACCCCACCCTGACTTCTGACCCCGGTCACATGACCCAGTCCGACTCCCTGACCTCCCTGACCTCCATGGCCTCCTTCACCTTTGATCTGGGGCCCTCCCTCATGAGCGAGGTGTTCGGTTTGATTGACAGCCCCAACGGCCACCCAGAGCACAGCCATGCCTGGATGGCAGAGGAGCCAAGTTGCTCTGCGTTCAGGTTTGCGACCAATGAAGGCTCGGAGATGGACTCGGAGATGGATGCCACCACTGCCTCATTGGTGGATTCTCTGCTTCGAGAAGACTGTAGCAGCAGGAAGAGTCCATATGGGATGGAGTGGGAAGAGGAGGAAGAGGAGGCTAGGAGAATGGAGGTGAATGGAGGTGAGCAGCATCTTAAAGGGGCGGTGCCTGATTTAGTGATGGGCTCCCCCTCTAGACAGAGACCTGCTATGGAGAGTGAGAGGTTCCAGGGTGCCACTGATGTGCTGGGGGTGCTCTATGGAGTTGGAGGGATCCTGAAGGGGCAGCAGAGGATGGATCTGGAGGGAGAGGTGACCATGGGCCAGACCATGAAGAAAACACCTTACATCTGCATTACCCCCGATGAGGAGGAAATCAAAGTCTGACTAAATGGACAACATTTTGTTTAACCAGAAGTACCTACTACAGATTTGGGATTATTGCTTAATTCCTTGTAAACTATTTTGTTTTAAGAAAAAAAGAAAAATCCATCAATGAGGCTGGCTCTATTGACCTGAGTCACCCTTGAACCCTTCTTCTTCATCATGTTCTAATATTCCTTGGAGAAATTGAATGTTATAAGTCATCAGAAGACTCACTTAAAGACTTTGCTATTATTTGTTGAAAGACTAATTGAAAGATTATGGAGGCTGAAAGTTCCCCAAGCGAACATACTGTATGGAAGGAGCTATAAACAGGCTAATAATAGCTTTTAAAAGAGGTCACTGGAACCAGTGGCGAACAAAGAGATGGGGTAGAAAGTGTCAGAGTGTACCAGAGAAAGTGGTCGTTGGACACAAAGGAGTTACCATGGAAACACTAAAGACATTGCTCAACAGTGTTTAAGTCTGTTAACAGCTGGTTAAATATAGTCGGTTTGGAATTCCTGAGCAAAATGCTCAATGTGTGACTTCATAGAACTATTCAAGGCAACAGACAGGACACAAAGACGAAGCAGTAGCCGTTTCAACCCAACTTCATCACCATGGAAACACTACACCAAGAGAGAGATCTGAAATCTTAGCACGTGACGTTAACTACAGGAAAACAATAATTTTTTGCCTGACGCTTACACTTTTTATTAGTCTATAGACACAGTATGAAGAACAAACCCTGAGAAATTTACTTAGAAGTTAAATGGAAGAAGGGAATTATGTACAATGTTATAATATAAGTATAATGTTTGGACTGTAAGTTTGTTAATTCACATATTTACATCATACCCCATTTAGAAATGTTTCCCAAATTCATTATGGGTCAAACTCTCATATTGCTTTTTGATATGATAGTCACCTGCTTGTCTGCTATTCTGTCAACCAATGGTTGAATCCTCTTTTTAAAGCAGTGTCTTCCATCCGTATAAATGTGCTGCTGTTGACACCAATGACATTTCTATAATGATAATGATAAATGCAATAAAATGTTCTTAATTAGCATGGGCATTAACACTTTATTTACATGTCTGAAAACATACTGTAATACAAAACAGCACTAAATAAATCACAACACATAATACAGTGCCTTCAGAAAGTATTCACACCCCTCGACTTATTCCACATTTTGTTGTGTTACAGCCTGAATTCAAAATGGATTAAATATATACTTTTTTATCTCACCCATCTACACACAATACCCCATAATGACAAAGTGAAAATATGTTTTTAGAAATGTTTGCAAATTATTGAAAATTAAATACAGAAATATAGAATTTACATAAGTATTCACACCCGAGTCAATACTTTGTAGAATAACCTTTGGCATGTTTGCTTTTTTTTATTTTTACCCATCTACCCAGGGGCGGTGTGTTCATTAGGGCGATATGGGCGACGCACTGCCAAACGGGAAAAGGAAGGGATTTTTTTTCTAATCAATTATATCACGGCAACAGTAGTTTTCAGTGTTCTAATATAGACGTCTGATCTGCCACTAAATGTCCAATCAGGCTAAAGTCGTGCTTCAAATGGCCCCGCCCCTTTTGGGGCGATTTCAGTCAGGTTGAAAATCGCCCAGGAGTCTCTCATAGACTATCATGTAAAATATATTTTTTTTTCAAATATCAGAGCTTTCAATACAATCTCTATGGGTTCCGGGAGGGCTTGCACTTACGCGCTTTCGTCATACGTAACATAAGTAACCATGAACATAACTAAGAAAAGAGCGGGTAGCAGCGTCAATCAATTCACGTACAACTGTCAAGATGGCTAGCTTTGCGAGGCAAAGATGAAACTGAGGGCTCCACCAACCCTGGTATTTTTCTTGGACTTGTCAACTTTGTGGCACAATTAGATGAGGTGTTTGATGACCATCTTAAAAATGCTAAAGTTTTCAAGGGCACATCAAAGACCATTCAAAACGAGCTACTGGAGTGTATGCTAGCGGTCATGAGGGAACATATTGTGGAGGAGGTGAAGTCGGCGAACTTCGTAGCTATCCAAGCTGACGAGACCACGGACGTTTCTACACAGACACAGCTGGTGCTTGTGCTGAGGTACATAGATAGCAACCACAAAGTGCAGGAGCGCTTTTTTGAGTTCCTTCCCATCTCGGAATCAACCTCAGTCTCAATCGCCAGTGTGCTTTTGGAGAGACTGAACGGTCTTTTTGCCGACGACGAGAAAGTCAAACTCATTGCGCAAGCTTACGATGGAGCCAGTGTGATGAGGTGAGAGAAGGCTGGTGTGCAGCAAAAGGTGCGTGATCATTTCAAGAATGCCCATTACGTGCATTGCTATGCGCATCAGCTGAATTTGATCATGCAGCAAGCTAGAACAGTTTCAGTACAAGTAATGTAGCCTCTCTCTCTCTTTGTCCCTCCCTGTCTGTCTCTTTAACACACACACGCCCAAATCAGTTCACAGTTGATGTTGTTTAAAATAGTTATTTTTCATTTAAAAAAAAGTAAAAAAAAAAAAAAAATCTGTTCATGTTCATTTTTACAAATCTATACAATTGGCCAGAATATGGTTGTTCATATTTACAAATCTATACAATTGGCCAGAATATGGTTGTTCATTTTTACAAAGCCATACAGATAGCTGTGTTTACCTTTTCTAGAAATTATTTTCAAATTCTGTTTTCAGGCAAAATGTCTATCACTGTTCATTTTCACAAATCTATACAAGAGGGCAGAATATGGAAGTCTATAAAAATTTCTTATTACCAATAACTTGCATCAATGTTTTCAGTAGCCTCTATCAAAAGCTCCTGCTTGCTTGTTGTGAATTATGCTCAGGTGCACATATTTCCAATTCAACCATGAGGCCTTTTTGAAGCAAGTAATGTGTATATCAGTATTGACTTATATGCTGCCCCTGTCTTCATGTTGTTGCTGGACATATCTTTTTTAAAATGTGTGTAGGTCACCTAAATCATCAGAAAAATTGCCCCCCCTGAGAATTTTTTCAGGAGCCGCCACTGCATCTACCAATAGGTGCCCTTCTTTGCGAGGCATTGGAAAACCTCCCTGGTCTTTGTGGTTGAATCTGTGTTTGAAATTCACTGCTCGACTGAGGGACCTTACAGATAATTGCATGTGTTGGGTACAGAGATGAGGTACTCATTCAAAAATCATGTTAAACACTATTATTGCACCCAGAGTGAGTCCATGCAACTTGTTACAGTGGCTTGCGAAAGTATTCACCCCCCTTGGCATTTTTCCTTTTTTGTTGCCTTACAAACTGGAATTAAATGGATTTTGGGGGGGGGTTTGTATCAATTGATGTGCTTAACATGCCTACCACTTTGAAGATGCAAAATAAAAAAAAATGGTGAAATAATACAAAAAAACTGAAAACTTGAGCGTGCATATCTATTCACCCCCCCCCCCAAAGTCAATACTTTGTAAAACCTACTTTTTGCAGCAATTACAGCTGCAAGTCTCTTGGGGTATGTCTCTATAAGCTTGGCACATCTAGCCACTGGGATTTTTGCCTATTCCTCAAGGCAAAACTGCTCCAGCTCCTTCAAGTTGGATGGGTTCCGCTGGTGTACAGCAATCTTTAAGTCATACCACAGATTCTCAATTGGATTGAGGTCTGGGCTTTGACTAGGCCATTCCAAGACATTTAAATGTTTCCCCTTAAACCACTCGAGTGTTGCTTTAGCAGTATGCTTAGGGTCATTGTCCTGCTGGAAGGTGAACCTCCGTCCCAGTCTCAAATCTCTGGAAGACTGAAACAGGTTTCCCTCAAGAATGTCCCTGTATTTAGCGCTATCCATCATTCCTTCAATTCTGACCAGTTTCCCAATCCCTGCCGATGAAAAACATCCCCACAGCATGATGCTGCCACCACCATGCTTCACTGTGGGGATGGTGTTCTTGGGGTGATGAGAGGTGTTGGGTTTGCGCCAGACATAGTGTTTTCCTTGATGGCCAAAAAGCTAAATTTGAGTCTCATCTGACCAGAGTACCTTCTTCTATATATTTGGGGAGTCTCCCACATGCCTTTTGGCGAACACCAAACGTGTTTGCTTCTTTTTTCTTTTAGCAATGGCTTTTTTCTGGCCACTCTTCCATAAAGCCCAGCTCTGTGGAGTGTACGGCTTAAAGTGGTCCTATGGAAGATATCTCCGCTGTGGAGCTTTGCAGCTCCTTCAGGGTTATATTTGGTCTCTTTGTTTTCTCTCTGATTAATGCCCTCCTTGCCTGGTCCGTGAGTTTTGGTGGGCGGCCCTCTCTTGGCAGGTTTGCTGTGGTGCCATATTCTTTCCATTTTTTAATAATGGATTTAATGGTGCTCCGTGGGATGTTAAAAGTTTCAGATATTTTTTTATAACTCAACCCTGATCTTTACTTCTCCACAACTTTGTCCCTGACCTGTTTGGAGAGCTCCTTGGTCTTCATGGTGCCGCTTGCTTGGTGGTGCCCCTTGCTTAGTGGTGTTGCAGACTCTGGGGCCTTTCAGAACAGGTGTATATATACTGAGATCATGTGACAGATCATGTGACACTTAGATTGCACACAGGTGGACTTTATTTTACTAATTATGTGACTTCTGAAGATAATTGGTTGCACCAGATCTTATTTAGGGGCTTCATAGCAAAGGGGGTAAATACATTTGCACGCACCAATTTCTCCGTTATTTATTTTTTAGAATTTTTTTAAACAAGTTATTTTTTTCATTTCACTTCACCAATTTGGACTATTTTGTGTATGTCCATTACATTAAATCCAAATAAAAATCCATTTAAATTACAGGTTGTATTGCAACAAAATAGGAAAAACGCCAAGGGGGATGAATACTTTTGCAAAGCACTGTATGTGACTTGTTAAGCACATTTCTACTCCTGAACTTATTTAGGCTTGCCATAACAAAGGGGTTGAATACTTACTGACTCAAGACATTTCAGCTTTTCATTTGTAATTAATTTGGAACAATTTGGAAAAACAGAATTCCACTTTGACATTGTGGGGTATTGTGTGTAGGCCGGTGACAAAAGAATCTAAATGTAATCCATTTTAAATTCAGGCTGTAACACAACGTGGAAAAGGTCAAGGGGTGTGAATACTTTCTGAAGAAACTGTATGGTAGCGCTCAAACTACAAAGCATTTTATCTGTAAGAGTGGAACCCGGCTGCAGAAGCCCAATACATCTCTGGCCTTGATACGCAACCCAAACAAGGTTACACCAAATGTCAGGTTACAGTCTACATTTGTACCTAAAGCATAAGAAAATGTATTTACACAAGCTTAGATGATACTCTATATCTCTACTTCATCATTGCGCTATAGAGGTCACCTGTTTGCTCTCCAGTACTGGTGGCTTGGGTGGTGGGATTTGGGGGGGCCTAATTGCACCCTTTTTGTTTGGGGCCTTCTTCAGGACCGGAGTTAGGGGCTTGGGTGCAGGTTGTGGCTGGGTTTTGGGTGCCTCTGCTGGGCCGGAGGTGCTGGGGTCCTGGGTTTGGAGTATGTAGCGACTACCTGCTCTTTACCCGGGATGGACGGCTTGTGTTGAAAGAAGGATCTCCTTGCTGTGAAAAAAGAGAAATGGGTAGTTCAGTGTTGGGGATTGGTTGAGGATACGTCTTATTGGGACTATAGATGTGCATTATTATATTAGAGTATTTGTCTTTACATGTACTTGAAACTAAAACTGTTGGTTGTGGTAGTGCAACAGTTATTTATTGCAACAGTTTTGTCATTAGAAGCCGTTGGTTATTTTGGCCACTGCTGCGGTGGAACGTGGGCTTCCTGTGTACTAACGTGGGGCAGTTGTTTGCCACTTATGCTGGGGTGGACCGTGACACATCACATGAGCTCTATGGATGACTTCAGCACTGTCAATAGAGAGCGTTAGCTAGCTACCACATGAGTTCTGTGTTTTACTATGCACCGTTAGCATGTCATGGACGGCCGTGGAGGGTCACCTACGTTTGTATGGTGAGGTGATCTTCAGTATAGCTTTGGGGGAGTCCGGTGGGGCCTCAATGATGGGTTCTAGTGATCCTGGTTCAGGGCTCTGCTTCTGGGTCGGAATACAGACAGACACCGGTGGTGGGGAAGGAACCAGGGTTGGGCCAGGATCCAGTTTAGGGCTGGGTAGTGGGGATGTGTGGTGAACCAGTGTTGGGCTTGAGACGGGGGACGTGCTCTGGGTCTGAACTTGGGTAGGGGTAAGTGGGGTTGAGCCTGGTGGGTCTGAGGCCGGGTTCCCCCAGGTCGTGGTTCTATGACCAATGGAGCCTGACTTGAAGATGAATAGACCTCCACTGTCCTGTGACGCTGAGCTGAGGAGGAGATGGTCGGTGTTAGATAACACACTGTTATAATTAAAAAGTGAACAAATAAAACTCTGTTCAAATGCATTTATTAATGACTATTGGCAATGTTTCCTTCCTGTTCCGTCTGTGTGTGCTGTACCTAAGTGTTTTACAGAGAGGGGGATGAGAAGAGGAAGAGCAGGAGGAAGAGCAGGAGGTAGTTCTGGCAAGCTTCTCTTTTCCAGACTCTGAGGGTTGAGGTTCTGACAAGGTCAAATCTGAGACCCCAGGAAGTTCCGGAATCTCAAAGTCCACCTCTGGAAAGGAACACAACATAGGCCTACTCTGAGAAACCATTTTGCATAAAAAAAAATCCATAGACCTACCTAGCTTAGTTCAACATACAGTGCCTTGCAAAAGTATTCATCCCCCTTGGCGTTTTTCCTATTTTGTTGCATTACAACCTGTAATTTAAATGTATTTTTATTTCATGTAATGGACATACACAAAATAGTCAAAATTCGTGAAGTGAAATGAAAAAAATAACTTGTTTCAAAACATTCTAAAAAATCATTAACGGAAAAGTGGTGCGTGCATATGTATTCACCCCCTTTGCTATGAAGCCCCTAAATAAGATCGGGTGCAACCAATTACCTTCAGAAGTCACATAATTAGTTAAATAAAGTCCACCTGTGTGCACATGATCTGTCACATGATCTCAGTATATATACACCTGTTCTGAAAGGCCCCAGAGTCTGCAACACCATGAAGTCCAAGGAGCTCTCCAAACAGGTCAGGGACAAAGTTGTGGAGAAGTACGGATCAGGGTTGGGTTATAAAAAAATATCAGAAACTTTGAACATTCCACGGAGCACCATTAAATCCATTATTAAAAAATTGAAAGAATATGGCACCACAACAAACCTGCCAAGAGAGGGCCGCCCACCAAAACTCACGTACCAGGCAAGGAGGGCATTAATCAGAGAGGCAACAAAGAGACCAAAGATAACCCTGAAGGAGCTGCAAAGCTCCACAGCGGAGATTGGAGTATCTGTCCATAAGACCACTTTAAGCCATACACTCCACAGAGCTGGGCTTTATGGAAGAGTGGCCAGAAAAAAGCCATTGCTTAAAGAAAAAAAGAAGCAAACACATTTGGTGTTCGCCAAAAGGCATGTGGGAGATTCCCCAAACATATAGAAGAAGGTACTCTGGTCAGATGAGACTCAAATTTAGCTTTTTGGCCATCAAGGAAAACTCTATGTCTGGCGCAAACCCAACACCTCTCATCACCCTGAGAACACCATCCCCATAGTGAAGCATGGTGGTGGCAGCATCATGCTGTGGGGATGTTTTTCATCGGCAGGGATTGGGAAACTGGTCAGAATTGAAGGAATGATGGATGGCGCTAAATACAGGGACATTCTTGAGGGAAACCTGTTTCAGTCTTCCAGAGATTTGAGACTGGGACGGAGGTTCACCTTCCAGCAGGACAATGACCCTAAGCATACTGCTAAAGCAACACTCGAGTGGTTTAAGGGGAAACATTTAAATGTCTTGGAATGGCCTAGTCAAAGCCCAGACCTCAATCCAATTGAGAATCTGTGGTATGACTTAAAGATTGCTGTACACCAGTGGAACCCATCCAACTTGAAGTAGCTGGAGCAGTTTTGCCTTGAAGAATGGGCAAAAATCCCAGTGGCTAGATGTGCCAAGCTTATAGAGACACACCCCAAGATACTTGCAGCTGTAATTGCTGCAAAGGGTGGCTCTACAAAGTATTGACTTTGGGGGGGGGGGGCGAATAGTTATGCACACTCATGTTTTCAGTTTTTTTGTCTTATTTCTTGTTTGTTTCACAATAAATAATATTTTGCATCTTCAAAGTGGTAGGCATGTTGTGTAAATCAAATGATACAAACCCCCCAAAAATCCATTTGAATTCCAGGTTGTAAGGCAACAAAATAGGAAAAATGCCAAGGGGGGTGAATACTTTCGCAAGCCACTGTAGTAAGACAAACATCAGTGGTGAATGAATAAAAAGTTAAAATACTATCCATAAGGCATTCAAGCAGCTCGCTCAGGTACCATCTAGTGGCTAACTTCCACAAATGTCATGCAAACCAACTCATCACTTAAAGGACTCCCAGTGCTCCTCCCTGGAACACACGTAAACAGAACATTGAAGGTGTACCTTCTGGAAACAGGCTGCTTGAGTATTTTATGAGAGGCTCAACCACCGCCACCACCTGGACAGAGGAGGCAGACGCCATGTCCAACAACGCTGCCTCCCTGAGAGAGAGGGAGAGAGGAAAATTGAGAAAAATAGATGACGGTACAGAATTGGACGGAGGAGAGGAAAATTGAAGTAAGACAAAGAGAGAGGGAGGAAAGAAAGAAAGAAAGAAAGAAACAGGTTAAAGTCAAGTACTAAATAACACAGAGACAGTTAAACAGAGACCTAATCAGATTAATAACAACCATGCAACAATAGAAAGTAACATCAGGAACAACACTGAGACATAGGGCTATTATGACAGACAGATAGATAGATAGACAGTGTGGTTCAGTTTCCTCTCTCTGTCAGCATGTCAGTAGTACCCACCCCTCCATGCGAGGCCACAGCAGGTTGGGACCCAGTACTATGGCAATGTTACTGGGACTCATCCTGTTTATCGCCTGCTGCTCTGACAGACACGACAGGAACTGTACCAGATACCTAATAGAGGGGAGGGGGGAGAGAGACAGAGAGAGAGAGAGAGACAGAGAGAGAGAGAGACAGAGAGAGAGAGAGAGACAGAGAGAGAGAGAGAGACAGAGAGAGAGAGGAAGAGGTGGCTTCCTGCATCATTCTTGAGTGTTTATAACTTCACACAGGAATCTATCAAGATCACAAGAAGTTGGTGACACCTTAATTGGGGAGGACGGGCTCATGGTAATGGCTGGAGCGGAATTGGTGGAATGGTATCAAATACATCAAACACATGGTTTGTTGCCATTCCATTTGCTCCGTTCCAGCCATTATTATGAGCAGTCCTCCCCTGAGCAGCCTCCACTGGTCAAGATCTGAGAGAGCTATGTACCGGAGGTTGTTGTAGTTTTCTGATGGTAACTTCTTCAGCACAATTTTAAACTGCTCAAGTTTGTCTGTCAGTTCTTTCTCCCTAAATAAAGACGGGGACAGGCAGAGAGACGTTTGATGAGGAGAAATTAGAGAGAAATGATATAAAGACACTATGAACTGTATGCTTCTAAGATGTAGACCAATCAAGGACCTTACCCTGCTGCTTGAAACCAATCATTGTAGAGTTCAAAGGTCATGAGGGGTTCAGGCAGCTCTCTCAGGTAGCTTTTCAAAGCCCCTACATGGAAAAAACAGAAGATGCTGCTTAATGCCTACGTGTTGTTGTACTATCAAGTAAACACATTTGAAACGTGAAAACCTTAAATAAGGAGTACTGTCAACAGGGACATTCTCTCTGACCTGCGACTGCGTGAGGGTCAGTGAACTTGCTGTGGTTCACGACCCCTCCATCCAGACTGCTCTTCAGTCTCTTCACTACCGAGGCTGCTGCTGCCAGACGAAACAGACCCTGGGAGAGAGTAGGAGGGAGAGAGATAGAGACCGATTTTATCCAGGAGGGCAAACATTATCGTAGACTGGCTACAGAGTCCTTTCACCTGCTCAGTTAATTAATAATATCCCATTCACATGAATACCATGTAGTAGATGAATAATCACAGTCCTCACCTCCTCCCTCATGCCGGTGTGCAGCAGCATGTGAACACACTCCTGGATGGGAACAGCGATCTCCCTGCCGCTGTCGTACAGGTGAGTCAGCAGGGGCTCCCCGTATACCTTCCCCCTAGAGTTGTTCTTCTGGGAGTCTGTGTTAACATATACTGGTGACACACTGGCAAAGGGTGGCTATTTGAAGTATCTCAAAAAAAAATTTTTTTTTGATTTGTTTAACACTTTTTTGGTTACTACATGATTCCATATGTGTTATTTCATAGTTTTGATGTCTTCACTATTATTCTACAATGTAGAAAATAGTTAAAATAAAGAAAAACCCTTGAATGAGTAGGTGTGTCCAAACTTTTGACTGGTACTGTACATACATACATACATACATACATACAGTGGGGAAAAAAAGTATTTAGTCAGCCACCAATAGTGCAAGTTCTCCCACTTAAAAAGATGAGAGAGGCCTGTAATTTTCATCATAGGTACACGTCAACTATGACAGACAAATTGAGAAAAAAATATCCAGAAAATCACATTGTAGGATTTTTAATGAATTTATTTGCAAATTATGGTGGAAAATAAGTATTTGGTCACCTACAAACAAGCAAGATTTCTGGCTCTCACAGACCTGTAACTTCTTCTTTAAGAGGCTCCTCTGTCCTCCACTCGTTACCTGTATTAATGGCACCTGTTTGAACTTGTTATCAGTATAAAAGACACCTGTCCACAACCTCAAACAGTCACACTCCAAACTCCACTATGGCCAAGACCAAAGAGCTGTCAAAGGACACCAGAAACAAAATTGTAGACCTGCACCAGGCTGGGTAGACTGAATCTGCAATAGGTAAGCAGCTTGGTTTGAAGAAATCAACTGTGGGAGCAATTATTAGGAAATGGAAGACATACAAGACCACTGATAATCTCCCTCGATCTGGGGCTCCACGCAAGATCTCACCCCGCGGGGTCAAAATGATCACAAGAACAGTGAGCAAAAATCCCAGAACCACATGGGGGGACCTAGTGAATGACCTGCAGAGAGCTGGGACCAAAGTAACAAAGCCTACCATCAGTAACACACTACGCCGCCAGGGACTCAAATCCTGCAGTGCCAGACGTGTCCCCCTGCTTAAGCCAGTACATTTTTAGTCATTTAGCAGACGCTCTTATCCAGAGCGACTTACAGTTAGTGAATACATATATATATTTTTTTATACTGGCCCCCCGTGGGAATCGAACCCACAACCCTGGCGCTGCAAACGCCATGCTCTACCAACTGAGCTACATCCCTGCCGGCCATTCCCTCCCCTACCCTGGACGACACTGGGCCAATTGTGCACCGCCCATGAGTCTCCCGGTCGCGGCCGGCTGCGACAGAGCCTGGATTCGAACCAGGATCTCTAGTGGCACAGTTAGCACTGCGATGCAGTGCCTTAGACCACTGCGCCACTCAGGAGCGTCTGAAGTTTGCTAGAGTGCATTTGGATGATCCAGAAGAGGATTGGGAGAATGTCATATGGTCAGATGAAACCAAAATAGAACTTTTTGGTAAAAACTCAACTCGTCGTGTTTGGAGGACAAAGAATGCTGAGTTGCATCCAAAGAACACCATACCTACTGTGAAGCATGGGGGTGGAAACATCATGCTTTGGGGCTGTTTTTCTGCAAAGGGACCAGGACGACTGATCCGTGTAAAGGAAAGAATGAATGGGGCCATGTATCGTAAGATTTTGAGTGAAAACCTCCTTCCATCAGCAAGGGCATTGAAGATGAAACGTGGCTGGGTCTTTCAGCATGACAATGATCCCAAAACACACCGCCCGGGACAACGAAGGAGTGGCTTCGTAAGAAGCATTTCAAGGTCCTGGAGTGGCCTAGCCAGTCTCCAGATCTCAACCCCATAGAAAATCTTTGGAGGGAGTTGAAAGTCCTGTGTTGCCCAGCGACAGCCCCAAAACATCACTGCTCTAGAGGAGATCTGCATGGAGGAATGGGCCAAAATACCAGCAACAGTGTGTGAAAACCTTGTGAAGACTTACAGAAAACGTTTGACCTGTGTCATTGCCAACAAAGGGTATATAACAAAGTATTGAGAAACTTTTGTTATTGACCAAATACTTATTTTCCACCATAATTTGCAAATACATTCATTAAAAATCCTACAATGTGATTTTCAGGATTTTTTTTCCTCATTTTGTCTGTCATAGTTGACGTGTACCTATGATGAAAATTACAGGCCTCTCTCATCTTTTTAAGTGGGAGAACTTGCACAATTGGTGGCTGACTAAATACTTTTTTTCCCCACTGTACATACACACTATTCACCTGTTTGACTGTGGCTCTCTTTTAGCTCAGTGATGTTTCGTTCCAGGAAGTCATAGGAATTCTTATGATGTTCTGCTTGTAGTTCCAGCAGCTGAGAGGGCACAAACCCGGCACTTATTAATTCTAATTCCTAATAGCACATGATAATGAACAAAAGTCAAACACAGCTTGAAAGAGAGGACAATTAGCAGGCCACACTCACACGAATGAAGTAGCTGGCATAGGCCTCTTCTTTAGTGGCAAAGTGATAGAGATCTGCAGAGTATTGGTCCTGCAGAGAACGAATAGCCACACCAACAGTTCATATGTAAGAGGCTGAAACTACCCCATAAAACCACAAAGTCTTAAACAGTAACACACATAATAGGAGTGACCTTGATGCTCTCCAGTTTCCTCCAGGCCTCCTCCACCTCCTCTTTCAGCCCGTCCTGCTTTGCCTGAGGGCCCGTACTGGCCTGGGACCTGAAGGGGCAAAGTCATCCATGATCAGAAGCCAGAGGACACAATGGAGATACTGATTAAAGGTAGTTATTATAGATGTATAAAGGAACTATGAACTGTCTGGAACAGAGGAGGCTGGTGGGAGGAGCTATAGGAGGACGGGCTCATTGTATTGGCTGGAATGTAATAAATGGAACGGTATCAAACATATTGAAACCACGTTAGACTCTGTTCCAATAATTCCATTCCAGCTATTATAATGAGCCCGTCCTCCTATAGCTCCTCCCATCAGCCTCCACTGTTCTGGAACATATAGGGTCTGTCACCTATCCGGTGTATGTGACAATAAAACATCTTAAAGTGCTAAATTCAATCACACAGAATGTGTGACCCACTTGTTGCGTGCATTGTTCCAGTCCATTGTGAGTTTGGCAAACTGCTTCTTGTTTTTGAGAATCTCTGGAAGGTCTTCCTACAGATGAAACAGAGTTAGTGTTCATATGCTGAACAGCTAATCAAATGGCTGCCTGGACTATTTGCATTGACCCCCCCCCCCCCCCCCCCCCCCCTTTCTTTACGCTACTGCTACTCGCTGTTCATCTATGCATAGTCACTTTAATAACTCTACCTACATGTACAAATTACCTCAATTACCTCGACTAACCTGTACCCCCGCACATTGACTCGGTACCGGTACCCCCTGTATACAGCCTCATTATTGCTATTTTATTGTTGCTCTTTTATTTTTTACTTTAGTTTATTTAGTCAATATTTGTCTCAACTCTTATTCTTCTTAATAACTGCATTGTTGGCTAAGGGCTTGTAGGTAAGCATTTCACAGTAAGGTCTACACCTGTTGTATTCGGCGCATGTGACAAATACAATTGTATTTTATTTTATTTTATTTTATGTGATACTACATAATCACAAACTTTCATTTTCTTCCAAAAGTGTCTGAAAGCCTCGTGCTCGTGCAGCCCTTACCTCACTGAGTTTATTGAGAGGCTCCAAAACCTCCTTCTCCAGCTTCATCTCAAAGTCAGCCAGCGTTGTGGCCAGATGGCTCTCCATGAAGCAACACATCTCCAACACTTTCCTATCAGGAAGGAAATAGACTGATTGATTAATGTTTGACTGATAATTTGGATGATGAATAAATGGTTTGGTTACTTAAAGTACCTGATAGAAGAGTCTGCATCAAAGTCTTTGAAGCTCTCCGCCATGCTAACAGACAGCAGCATGAGAGGGAGTTTTTTCTGGAGAGAGAGAGAGTTTTGTATTGATAGTTTTGTATTGATAGTTGTGTATTGATAATCATAACAGAGGGAAGTCAAGTCAAGGGGAAGGGATGAAAGGTGAAAAAGAGGAGACGTTACCGTTCGTCTCTCGGTGTCCAGCCCTAGTTGACTCTGCAGACAGCCCAGCAGCTTCTTGTGAATAACCTGCGCTGCCTTCTTGGCTGGCTCCACCCGCTGCTCCACCTTAGGCCAATGAAAATGACAGATATAGAGCGTGTCTTATGTTCACAGTGTTAGCTACAGTGGAGGAAAAAAGTATTTAGTCAGCCACCAATTGTGCAAGTTCTCCCACTTAAAAATATGAGAGAGGCCTGTAATTTTCATCATAGGTACACGACAACTATGACAGACAAAATGAGAAAAAAAAATCCAGAAAATTTAATGCATTTATTTGCACATTATGGTGGAAAATAAGTATTTGGTCAATAACAAAAGTTTCTCAATACTTTGTTATATACCCTTTGTTGGCAATGACACAGGTCAAACGTTTTCTGTAAGTCTTCACAAGGTTTTCACACACTGTTGCTGGTATTTTGGCCCATTCCTCCATGCAGATCTCCTCTAGAGCAGTGATGTTTTGGGGCTGTCGCTGGGCAACACGGACTTTCAACTCCCTCCAAAGATTTTCTATGGGGTTGAGATCTGGAGACTGGCTAGGCCACTCCAGGACCTTGAAATGCTTCTTACGAAGCCACTCCTTCATTGTCCGGGCGGTGTTTTTGGGATCATTGTCATGCTGAAAGACCCAGCCACGTTTCATCTTCAATGCCCTTGCTGATGGAAGGAGGTTTTCACTCAAAATCTTACGATACATGGCCCCATTCATTCTTTCCTTTACACGGATCAGTCGTCCTGGTCCCTTTGCAGAAAAACAGCCCCAAAGCATGATGTTTCCACCCCCATGCTTCACAGTAGGTATGGTGTTCTTTGGATGCAACTCAGCATTCTTTGTCCTCCAAACACGACGAGTTGAGTTTTTACCAAAAAGTTCTATTTTGGTTTCATCTGACCATATGACATTCTCCCAATCCTCTTCTGGATCATCCAAATGCACTATAGCAAACTTCAGACGGGCCTGGACATGTACTGGCTTAAGCAGGGGGACACGTCTTGCACTGCAGGATTTGAGTCCCTGGCGGCGTAGTGTGTTACTGATGGTAGGCTTTGTTACTTTGGTCCCAGCTCTCTGCAGGTCATTCACTAGGTCCCCCCGTGTGGTTCTGGGATTTTTTCTCACCGTTCTTGTGATCATTTTGACCCCACGGGGTGAGATCTTGCGTGGAGCCCCAGATCGAGGGAGATTATCAGTGGTCTTGTATGTCTTCCATTTCCTAATAATTGCTCCCACAGTTGATTTCTTCAAACCAAGCTGCTTACCTATTGCAGATTCAGTCTACCCAGCCTGGTGCAGGTCTACAATTTTGTTTCTGGTGTCCTTTGACAGCTCTTTGGTCTTGACCATAGTGGAGTTTGGAGTGTGACTGTTTGGGGTTGTGGACAGGTGTCTTTTATACTGATAACAAGTTCAAACAGGTGCCATTAATACAGGTAACGAGTGGTGGACAGAGGAGCCTCTTAAAGAAGAAGTTACAGGTCTGTGAGAGCCAGAAATCTTGCTTGTTTGTAGGTGACCAAATACTTATTTTCCACCATAATTTGCAAATAAATTCATAAAAAATCCTACAATGTGATTTTCTGGAGAAAGAAAATCTCAATTTGTCTGTCATAGTTGACGTGTACCTATGATGAACATTACAGGCCTCTCTCATCTTTTTAAGTGGGAGAACTTGCACAATTGGTGGCTGACTAAATACTTTTTTCCCCCACTGTAGGTAAAAATCTATTCACTATTCACGTTGTGAACTGAGCCACCTCTATCCCCTTTTATAATCAGCCTTAACTCACCATGACCAAATCCTCTATCCCCCGTTATAATCAGCCTTAACTCACCATAACCAGATACTCTAGCCCCCTTTATAATCACTCTTAACTCACCATAACCAGGTCCTCTACCCCCTTTATAATCAGCCTTAACTCACCATCACCAGATCCTCTATCCCCCTTTATAATCAGCCTTAACTCACCATAACCAGATCCTCTATCCCCCTTTATAATCAGCCTTAACTCACCATAACCAGACCCTCTATCCCCCATTATAATCAGCCTTAACTCACCATAACCAGATCCTCTATCCCCCTTTATAATCATCCTTAACTCACCATCACCAGATCCTCTATCCCCCTTTATAATCAGCCTTAACTCACCAAAACCAGAGCCTCTATCCGCCTTTATAATCAGCCTTAACTCACCATCACCAGATCCTCTATCCCCCTTTATAATCAGCCTTAACTCACCATCACCAGATACTCTATCCCCCTTTATAATCACCCTTAACTCACCATAACCAGATCCTCTATCCCCCTTTATAATCAGCCTTAACTCACCATCACCAGTACCTCTATCCCCCTTTATAATCAGCCTTAACTCACCATCACCAGATCCTCTATCCCCCTTTATAATCAGCCTTAACTCACCATAACCAGACCCTCTATCCCCCTTTATAATCAGCCTTAACTCACCATAACCAGATCATCTATCCCCCTTTATAATCAGCCTTAACTCACCATAACCAGATCCTCTATTCCCCTTTATAATCAGCCTTAACTCACCATAACCAGATCCTCTATCCCCCTTTATAATCAGCCTTAACTCACCATCACCAGTACCTCTATCCCCCTTTATAATCAGCCTTAACTCACCATCACAGATCATCTATCCCCCTTTATAATCAGCCTTAACTCACCATCACCAGTACCTCTATCCCCCTTTATAATCAGCCTTAACTCACCATCACCAGATACTCTATCCCCCTTTATAATCACCCTTAACTCACCATAACCAGATCCTCTATCCCCCTTTATAATCAGCCTTAACTCACCATCACAGATCATCTATCCCCCTTTATAATCAGCCTTAACTCACCATCACCAGTACCTCTATCCCCCTTTATAATCAGCCTTAACTCACCATCACCAGATCCTCTATCCCCCTTTATAATCAGCCTTAACTCACCATAACCAGATCCTCTATCCCCCTTTATAATCAGCTTTAACTCACCATAACCAGAGCCTCTATCCCCCTTTATAATCAGCCTTAACTCACCATAACCAGATCCTCTATTCCCCTTTATAATCAGCCTTAACTCACCATAACCAGATCGTCTGTGAGAAGGTCAGTGGCATCCTGTGACCTGTTGATCAGAATAAAAAACGCTTTCAGGCCGTATTTGTGTTGCAGTGTGTTGCAGTATGTGCATTTATTATGGATCCCCATTAGTTCCTGCCAAGGCAACAGCTACTCTTCCTGTGGTCCAGCAAAGTGCAGCAAAGTGCAGCTCTATGGGAGATTAGAACACATGTAGCTCTTCCACTGTCAGTTAGATGAGATCAACATCCTAAAGTTAGAGAGTGTGGGCTACTGTGGTTTAGATAGGTAGAAGGCCAGCGAGGGGGGGGGGGGTTGGAGGGGAAGTTGGCTGATGAGGGCTACTGCTCACGCCAAGGCCCTCCCCCCTCACCCTATCAAGATAACCCAGTGGTTCCCAACCTTTTTTGCTTACTGTACCAGCAACTAAATTTTGCCCGGAGTACCCCTGAAGTACCCCCTCATGTGCATTTTACCAGTAAACCTATGGTCTCATGAGTGTTCTCAAGTACCCCCTGTGGATAGGCCAAGTACCCCAGGGGTCCTAGTACAAACACCATTGTAAATACAACCCATATTTATGTTTATTTATTTTCCCATTTGTACTTTAACTATTTGCACATTGTTACAACACTGTATATATACATAATATATTATATTATTATATTATTTTGGAACTTCTGAGTGTAATGTTTACTGTTAATATGTATTGTTTAATTCACTTTTGTTTACTATCTACTTCACTTGCTTTGGCAATGTTAACATACGTTATCCATGCCAATAATTGAAAATTGAAATTGGATTGAGAGGACAGAGGACAGAGGACATAGCAGAGAGAAGAGAGAGATAGAGAGGGAGAGAGAGCGAGAGAGAAGAGCTAGCGATAGAGAATGATATATCTATCGCTATCGAATATAGAGCGATCGAGATAGCAGCGACTAGAGATAGAGACCAGATATCTAGATATCGCTATATATATGATATAGATAGTTTGATTTCCTCTTCTTTTTATAAGTTTTTTTCAACTTATATGTCCGGCCTTTTCTCAGTTTTAGTTTGCAATTTGTATCATGTTAAATATTAGCCACTATCGGAAGCCACCGTCAGTAATACCCACATACATTTATAACTAACTTTAGTGTTAGTTTCCTTCAATTTGTAGCCCACATTTTGCATCATTCCATTCCATTCCGTTTACCTTTCTTTCCTCTGTCACGGCCTTGTAAATTGTTCCTGAGGGTCGCTAGCAATAGTGGATCATATTAGGCTAACATTGTGCAATAATTTGGGACATGTAGCCTATTTGAATCATTATGGAACTCAGACCACACATAGCAGTTTAAACCTGGAGCCTGGCGCATGGTTCACGTTGTCATACAGTTCCATGATTAGTGAGGATTAGGGTAGATTTATAGGACTATTGTTCAACCCCTATTGTACACTTTTTCACCTTCCAATATTTCATGGATTGAACTTGAATATGACAACTTTCAGGATTAATGAAACCACTGTAATTTTGATTCATCAATATATTTAGAGCGTAAAGGCTCTCCAACCCTGTTGTTTATGAGTCATACAATTGAAGTCGGAGGTTTACATACACCTTAGCCAAATACATTTAAACTCGTTTTTTTCACAATTCCTGTCATTTAATACTAGTAAAAAATCCCTGTTTTAGGTCAGTTAGGATCACCACTTTATTTTAAGAATGTGAAATGTCAGAATAATAGTAGAGAGAATGATTTATTTCAGCTTTTATTTATTTCATCACATTCCCAGTGGGTCAGAAGTTTACATACACTCAATTAGTATTTGGTAGCATTGCCTTTCAATTGTTTAACTTTGATCAAACGTTTCGGGTAGCCTTCCACAAGCTTCTCACAGTAAGTTGGGTGAATTTTGGCCCATTCCTCCTGACAGAGCTGGTGTAACTGAGTCAGGTTTATAGGCCTCCTTGCTCGCACACGCTTTTTCAGTTC